GTTTTTTTGTTATTTGCCTTAATTTTCTAATTCAAGCTGAACTGGAAATTAGACAATAAAGGAATACAAATGGTGTTCTGTAGATATTGTGTCCCAGACTGTTTCTAGGTTTATCATTCAATATGTCTCTTAAGAAGAGTTGGACATCAGTGTGTAACCTTATAATATGTCATATTATCTTTTAAAATCAATCATTGTGTGTCCCACATGCATGAAAAGCTAATCAAGTTGATCCTGAACTTGATCTTTTGTCATCCTTTTTATACTGAGTGAATGGCATAAAAGTGACAGTGCAGTTTTTCAGGTTCTTCAATAACAACAAGTATATCTCCACCCTTCCGGGCTTCTGTGGGATTAAAATGAAGCGCTCCTGGGTCTGGTTGATAGGCGGAGCAGAGAGGGGGAGGAGGATGAGGGGAGGGGGGAGGAAGAGGGGAGAGTCTGCAGAAATTGATTGATGCCAAACAGACCGGACTCTGAAAAGTTGGGGATGGGTGTGATCAAACAGACATGCTGATACGATAAAAAAAAAAGCGATTTAAAATAATAATTTAAGGTATTTCATCAGTAAATCTGCTACATTATGTCTGAATGTGTTTCTCGCCGCTGTGGGGGCTGAAGTTTTGAGTTTCCAGACACATTTCTCATCAGACTTAATGCTGAACCTGCTCTCATGTCGACACTGTGAACCAGCACTTCCTCCAATCTGAGACTAAAACCCTGCAGCTCTATGTCCAAAAACTCATCTTTATAAACCTCCTACACTGGTGAATCATCAACTCTACTTTCTGCAGAACACTGTTTTACTTACCTTGTGATCTGTAGGAAAGGGAGGAGGCGATATGACGAGTTGACTGTGTTGGTTCAGCACATAAATTCATTGTTTGTTGGTCAATACATCCATAGGTCCCCTCTACACTAAGCTTTATAGGGGACAGAGTTTTAGAGTTGTGATGTTTTGACTGAATAGTCTTATTTATAAAATGTTTCTAAATTGGCAAAATTAAATTAAAAGGGGGTTGACCATTATTAGGAATTTATGGACCAAGTGCCTTTTTTTCTTTCCTAGCTTTGTGTCTTCATGTTCTAAAATAAAAAGAAGCTTTATCCTCCACCTCCAACCACATGTCTCACACTTCTCCCCTGTTTACTGCTAAATGTGATATAGAGCAAATAATACCACCGCCACCCAGAACAGTTGCTTTTGTAGAGTACCTGATAAAGGTTTATACCATAATCTGGCATCATTGTCGCAATAAGTCTAACCTTTTCAATACGCCTTTGCTCAATTTAAATGATAGTACCTCCTGGATTTTAGTATGGCCAGAATTTGGTTTCCATGTGTAGTGTGTCTGTACGATGAGTGGTATTGTATCAGCAGGCTTTAGGGTATAATACTATATATGGAGAGCATAAGCAGGCATAATACAATCTGCTGGAATGTCATTCCCGTTCGCATCAGCGCTGATCTGAAGAAGATTTATTTATCTTTATAAAAAGATATCTACAGATAACAATCCATGCAGATCAACATCTTTCTTTGAGCAATAAATCTGCTTGATGCCATATCAAAACCAACGTTTACATTTACCACAGTCCTGGAATGGATCAGATGTTGGGTCAGTTTCTTTTTCCGGTTCATTCTGAATTACACCAGCGTAAAGCCACTGTGTAAACAAATGGAACACATCCATACGACATACAAACGGAAATTTCCCCTCTCAGGTTACAGTTTTCTTCAGCTTAGCTATGAGCTGCCAGGCCTGAAGGTGGAAGTCAATATGACTACGAAGATTCAAAGTCAATAACTATGCTTGCAATTAAACTTAATTGTTCCAGGTCATTCTTAGTACAATCTTCAGAGCTCTTAAAGTATAGTTAAAAGACAGGCCACAGTGCACTGCCTGCTATGAAACATCAGACAGACATAGTAAGAGGCTATCCTGTGAATGTAGCATTGAACAGCTCAAGATATTTCCTGTAGGAGGAGTTTAAACCAAATACAATGCTCCGTAGCTGCTTGATGTGATAATTTGGATCCAGTGTTTAACATATCAAAGTTAATTTTATGTTACTGCTGCCAAAGAAACAAGTGTATTAAATAATCAGATGTTGCAGGTTTAAAGGGACAGTAAAGGTCTGTTCTCTATCAAAATATATTCATGCTGTGCCTCAACAGAAGGAGATCATGTTGTCATGACATAATATTTGTGACTTTTCATCACTCACACATCTATACACACTGCAAATGATGCACTAAGGGTCTGAAGGTCATCCAAACGTGCTGACACGGAATGTGACACTGTGTGTGTGTGTGTGTGTGTGTGTGTGTGTGTGTGCGTGTGTGTGTGTGTGTGTGTGTGCGTGTGTGTGTGTGTGTGTGCGTGTGTGTGTGTGTGTGTGTGTGTGTGTGTGTGTGTGTGTGTGTGTGTGTGTGTGACTGTGTGCAGAATGTGATCTGGCCTTGAAGGTGTTTTTGGGCTCTTGATGACTCACACACAAACACACTGTGTCAGAGTGTGTGTGTGTGTGTGTGTGTGTGTGTGTGTCCGGCTTGAAGGGGATTATAACTTAGATACCAGACACCATGTCGAAAGGTCCAGTAGATTTGCCGCCATGTTTGTTTTGAGGCAGAGGATGGTGAGGAGAAGGTCAAAGGTCATCAAGGTAATTCCTATCATGCAGCTGCTGCCTGTCAGTGTCTGAAATATCTGCTTCTCTCTCTCTCTCTCTCTGTGAAATGTCAGTCATCAGAGGTCACAGCATGTTGATGAAAGACTCTGATGCTGCACAGTTGAAAAACAACAACAAAAAACTAAACAAATATACTTGTCTGATGAATTTAAGTGCGTGGATAGATGAAATTTGTGGGCCCCAGTGGATGAACCACGTTCATCCATGAACCGTGTTTCTTTCCAGTTAATTCCACATGTATGTGTTTATATTATAGTTTGCATAAAGGATATAATATATATATATATATATATATATATATAAATGTGGACATAGCCACAGTGGAGTTATCCATTGTTTGTTGACTTGTGTTTTGTAGCCACAAGTTTGGCGTCTTTTTATTATTATTCAAAATGTAAGCTTAAAAAAAAATGTTTCTGTAAATTTGTAATTATTTAAGGAGGTAAGCGACCCTGTCAGCAGGATATTGTTTCAAGGCTGCTCAGATGAAATAGAGGGGGGCTTCAGCCCTCGCCAAAAGGTCTAAAATCCTCTCTGGTCTGACTTAGATTGTTCAAGTCCTATAAGCAGAGTTTTTGAGCATGAGTCCATGCAATACATACTGAGTTAATAAGACTTTTACCTTTTCAGTCACTGTAATCTTTTCAAAATCGATATAGACTATAATACAACAGAGTATTTTATGACAAATATGGTGTCTTTACTCGTTTAAAGCAGACACAGTTAGGTTTTGGGTGGGGAGGTTTTAGTCTCTGTTCAGATTTATTTCTATAATCACACATAAAATCTGCCTGTGCTAAATACAACAGACAGAACAGAAAAGAAAACCTTCTGCTTGAGTTAAATGTCACTGATTCTCTCACAGCAAAGTTGGACTCAACTTCAACATGTTGCCTGGCAACAGCTGGCTGTCGGCACCCACTCAGGTGTGTGTATTATGCTTGTATGTGTGTCATGATGAATAAGACTAACTGTGTGGGCAGTTGAAGTGCTGAGCAGATTTCAGAGAAATAAAAGATAGATGGAGGACAAAAGAGGAGCATACAGTGGAGGAGAAAAGGAAAGAAACTAAGAGAGGAGAGGATGAAGGAAAGGATACAGGAGAGGAAACATAGGAAGGAGAGAAGAAGACTGGCGAAACAAGGGCATCAACTTTTCTTTTCTTTCTGTATCTCTCACACAAACACTTTGAGCAGACAGAGTGGTGTCGCCATGGTGACCACTATGAGATGCCAAGCCGGTTGCCGGGAGAGAAAGAGGCGGAGGAAGAGGAGGAGGAGGAAGAAGAGGTTGAGGCCAGTGGATTTTTTCCAGCTTTTCCGCAGTGTTGAGGTGTGTGGGTGGCCTCTCTCTCTCTCTCTCTCTCTCTCTCTCTCTCCCCTCTCCCTCTCTCCTTCCTGTCTCTCTCATAGCAAAAGTTTGTGGGAGGCTGTGATATTATTTTTTATTTTTTGCAGGAGATTTTGCATCGAAGAATTTGCATCGAAGAATTTGCATGGAACAGAAGAGAAAGTGAGAAGTGATATTAGAGGTCGACGACGATGGGGTTTATATTCTGGAGCATTAGGGACATTTTGCAGACTGAATTGTTTCAGCTGGTCCTGGGATGAGCCTCGGTTCAGCAGCTCTGGAACATAATTTAAATATAAATTAGACATTTCTTATAAAACAAAACAAATAAATTGCTGTTGATTGTCTCTCAGCCAGACTGGGTCAATACCTCTCAGTTAAACCGGGTGTAGGTCCATTTTTTGATGTAAACTCCCGGGTGCAAGAGATGATGTCACCCACCCTGCACTGCTCCATAAACCAGTGTTTCATCTCAATGCTTCTGTTGGCATGCAGGTGTGAAGTGTGGGACCCATAGTAATGTGAGGCACCTGTAATATTATAATGGGTTTACTTGTGATTAAATGAATAAGGCTGACACAAGCACTTTTGGGCAGCGTTGGAGTCTTTAGGACTCACATGCATCGTTTAGGAGACCTAGATGGCGACAATATGATAAGCTGGTCTATCTGATTGATGTGCTGGTGTTTCTGTATTTTCAGGAGAGCAAACTTGTTAAAACAGTCTATAAACATTGGGACACAGATGTATAATGGATGTGTGAGAGAAACTGAGTTCTGTTATTGCAAAATGCTCATGTGTTTCCAAGTTTTGTAAGTCAATTGATAGTCTTTGAAGTGCAGCTCCTGCAACGTTTGGCTTGATAGGAAGTCAGCAGAGCCTACAAAGCCTGATTAAATATATGCTATTAACTGTGTGAGTGTGAAGAATATTTTGAAAAGTAGGAGATAGAGAAACATTGTTACCTTTTTTTAATCGTGTTTAAGTGAGCGAGAGTGTTTGGCACACACGTCTTCCAGTTGACTGAGATGTCTATCATAGTGCAGCCATGCGAGGCTGATGTGCCCGAAGCTGTTCAACAGGTCATTCAGATGTGACAGAACACCGTGGAAAGCATCCCTGATGAAATCTCTTTACGGTTATTAGCCACTATTGTAGTCTGCCAACTTCTTGTCTACTCTGAGCCATGAGACTGGCATGCATACTCGCTGTACTCAGCCTCACACCTGATGGACCAGCTAGAGCAAATCCTGTAGCTTTATTTTGGGCTATTTGGAGCTTAGACAGAACTTCTAATATACCAAACCTGCAATAAATCTTTCTTCATGAAAGGCCAAGAGTTCAGTTTTAAAAACTATATGTATTTGAAATATGTTGATTTAATAATAATAAACGTTTGCAGATTGTAACAGAACATAATATACAACATGTTGAATACACATGTATGGGCTTTTATGAATACTAAAGAAAACAAAACAGAGAATTGTCTATTTCATGTAGAGACAACGCCTAGAGCTATGATCCTTTACAGTCCCCCCCGCCACCCGCTCCTACAACTACACACAGCTTCATCATGAGAGTGGATGGAGGGTCAGTGTGTCCATCCTGTGCTCCAGCAGCTGTGTGTATGTCACTGTTATATAAGTTTGTCATAACATCAGATCCTATTCAAACAGCCAACATCCCCTTGTCTCTTTTGCAGATTAAAGCAATGTGTACGTGCATGTACATGCGTGTGTGTATGTTTGTGAGAAATGTCTCGAGATGGGTTGGCATGACAACAAAGCGTATACTTCTAACAGTGTATCCAGGGAGAGTGAGTCTCTAAGCGCTGACACTTGCACAAACACAAGGCCCTAGAGCTGATCTTCACAATGCCTTCAATTTTAAGTTCAGATATTTTATGAGAGAAAATTGATTTCCATAGATCAACAATGGTGTTTTTTTCCCAAAATGTTGTTTTCACGTACTAAAAACCCATATTTCTTGCTAAATATTTTAAGAAGTGTACCCACAGTTAGCCTTTCTTCCTTGAACACAACCACACACACACACACATGTGCACACTGAGTCGCAGCAGTAAATAGATGCTCTGTTCCTGCTGTGTCCGTGTTTTTGTTGTTGATGCCATGACAGCTGATCAGGGATTTTCCTGCTGTGATTTAATTGGATCAAATCATGTAGGTGATCGAGTCATGTGACTTGCTCTTATGTATTTCAGCTGAATTGTGTGTGTGTGTGTATGTGTGTGTGTTTCAATTATTAGTTTTTCATCTAATTTTGAATATGCTCTGGTAAGGTCATTACTGTTAAGAGGGACACACTACTGTTATATTTATTTGTTTTTCTGACAGAAAACCTTTTGTACCTGGAACAATAAGAAATCTCCATTTCCATTGCACTCCAAAAAAGAAACTCTGAAAGCAACTCTGGCTACAATAAGTTATTTATCAGTCTTCATTAATGAACTTTGACAGGAGCTTGGATATGAAATTGAACTGAAATGAACAACAGTTAGGTTTAACACAGGTCTGGAGAGTTCCTCAAGATCCTTCGATGAGTTGGTCAGAAGCGGGTCTTAAAGCCTGACAGCTCCAGCTTGTCGATGCTTCTCTGATTGGTGAAGGAGGCTCTGGTGATCCGACTGGATGGACTGCCTTCTTTACTCAACCACACCTTCCTGTTTAGGACACATAAAGAAACTCAGAGATCCTCGTCACCATGTGAACAGTCCAACTGTGACCAGACCCTTTTCTGTTGTATTGCCGTTCATTCAATGTCTGCACTTAAAGTTCAGAGAGTACAAAGCTGTGGCTCAGTGGTTAAGTGGATCGCTTCCCAGTGAAAAAGGTTGCAAGTTAAATAAAATACATACATTTTTAAGTACTTTAAATTGAACCTTAATTTTATTTTTGTGTCATTACAAAGTTAAGCTAATGTTGCAATTTTCTTGTGTGATTAAGTAGATAGTATTGGTGAGGTAAGAAAGGGTAAATAATTCATATTATTTGTGTGTTGGTTCGCACATCACACTTCGAGCCATCCATGCATAAGTCAGTTGGGCCACCCCAGTCAAAAAGTCTGGACACGCCCCTGAGTAGTGTGCTTGTCTTGTTCTTGTTAGCTATGTTTTGTGAATCATAAAATGTTGTTTTTACACCAAATGTGCATTGAGTAAATCCTACTTTAGCTAGTCAAGGCTTAAGCAGCTTTATGTAATACATCAATTATAAGTCAATGTCTGTGTTTGTGAAAGCAGCATCAGTGCTGGTCAAGATATTTTGCTTTTAAAATGTATTTTTGGGCCTTCTTCTTTTCTGACAGGACAGCTAAAAAGAAACATGAAATATTTAGAGAGAGAGAGAGAGAGAGAGAGAGAGAGAGAGAGAAATCGGGATGACAGGACAAGCCAAGGGCTGAGGGTCAGGGACAAAAATGAAGAAAAAAATAACAATCAGACTGTTGGGGGTGGTCAGATACACATGTGGTACCCAGGGGCATGATGGGAAAAACACATACATTCCTACAGTACAGCTTTATCTAAGCCTGAGAATGAAGAAAGTCTGTTTCACCACCGACTGTTTTTGTGACCATCTGATAATTCTGATCGTGTGTTTGTAGATTAGAGAGAGCTTTCAGGGGATCAGGGTCACGTCCATGAAGCTGCACTGACTAAAAACCCGGCCAGAAATGAGAGAGCAACTGAGATAAAATGAGGAGAAGAGAGAGCGAGAGAGAGAGAGAGCGAGAGAGAAACTGAGAGAAGGGAGAGAGTCAGTGAAAGAGAGACGAGCTGTCCTACTTTTTCAGTTTTGGCAAAAAACTTCTCCATACAGTCGACTGATCTGATGAGTGACCTAGTACTCTACTGTACACACACACACACACACACACACACACACACACACACACACACACACACACACACACACACACACACACACACACACACGAAACAGATTATAGTGTTAAGTCTCCACAGCTGGATATTTGCTGGTTTGTAATCTGCTGACGTTTTCCTCTAAATCTACACTGTTTGATAAGAGTATACATTTGCGAGGACAGTTATTGACAATGCACAATGTTAGAATATGTTTTTTATTGTCACAACTCCGATCAGAGACTTTAGAAATTTGTAGCAAATAACTCTCTGTCAGCTTTGATGTGTAAATGTAACAGATCTGTTATCAAGTAATCAGACTCAGTATTACAGAAAGGGACATTTGAAGTTAACATACATATCATAATGATAACTATTATTATTAAGATTTTTTTGTATCATTATTATTATCATTTAAATCATCACTATCAATTCTTTTGTAAAATATTGACCGTGTCCTTCAGGTGATAAACAAACAAAAAGTTATTCTGTCTCTTAGAATTCCTCTTGAGGATGATATGAGGTCTTGTTTTGTTGTTGTTGTAAAAGCCAACACAAAAGACATGACTGACGGCTATCGATGCTAACTTTACAGCCACTTCCAGCAGCTTCAGGTGCGTACCAAGTGAAATGACCTGTTACCTTTGTGAACAACTGTAAAGGAGGCCAGCATCACCATGATGGAGGTTTGTAAAAGGTCTGAGCTTTTGTCCTCACGAGGACAACAAAGAACTCATCACTGATAGGCCTTCGCAGAATAGCAGCACACAAGTTGTTGCATGAGTAACAAAAAATGGATATCAACTCAAAATGAGGCACATGTTGTGTTGTGTCTCATTTGAGTGTTTGCATCACAAATCACTTTGCTATTTTTTAATTTACAAATTAAAGTTTTAAATGTTTTGATTGTGGTCAAAAAAGCACACTAACAGTTGCTGCTCATCACCACAGAGAGCTGAACTGAGACCTCTCAGACGCTATTTCAAACTGTGCTGTCATTCATTTTAAAGTAAGAAGATAAGCGCAAAAAAAACTCAAACAAGTCACTCAGTGTGTTCTAGTGTGAAGTTCAGAACCTCACTTCAGACTGCAGTCAGCCCTAATAACATGTAGAATACACTCCAATGATAATGAAACAAGCTCTCTACAGATTATTAAACATCTCTAAACAACAAGAAACCAAAATGGCTTCTTTCACAACAATTATTTAGGCCAATCAAAAAGCTGAATTACCTTAAATGTTAGTCATTTCTGACATTCTGACATATGATGTCACTCATGTGAATGTCAGACACAAGTGACATCTGTTTTTCTCTCCACCTCTGCTCCTTTTTTTATTTCTGGTTCCAGCTTAGTTTTGAAAATCTCACTTTCGGTTCCTTTAGTCTCCATTTTGTTCATGTTCACTGCACTCTAGGAATTATTTTTCTCAAGAGGAGAAAAAAGGGAAACCACCCACACGTGTACCTCCCACCACCAGCAGCAGCTCTGCATTTCTCTCTTCTGTGGTTCACTACTTCCTAACTCTCACTCCCTTCTCTTCTGTCCTCCATCGCTTTAATTCTCTGTCCTCTTTTTTTGCACCACTCCCCTTTCTCCACTCCTGTAAGTCCCCCAGTGTCCCCCTTTCTTCTCCCCCCTTCCTCCCTCCTTCTCTTCCTCTGTCCAGAGGAACAGCTGCTTTCCGTTTCCCAGGCCCGACAGGAAGTGAGGTCGTGGTGAAAGTGGAGTCATCAGGAAGGACATGAGGGAGAGTGTTACCAGTGAAAAGATGCCCGGTAGAATGGAGTGTTATTGATCTTTTATTAATAAAGTGTTTAACTATAACTCTGAACTGTAGCTTTTATTTTTATTTTTAAAAACGCTTTCAATATTTTAGCTTCTGTTTTAGCTTCTTATCTTTGATATTAATGGTTTTGTTTGAATGATTTGTCATGATGCGTTTGATGTTGTGGTAATGGTAAATGGACTTGAGCTTGTATAGCGCTTTCCTTGTCTTCTGACAACGCAAAGCGCTTTTATACCGCATGTTTTATACCTCCCCATTCACACCCATGCACACCCTGATGGCCGATGAAGCAGCGGGACCAATTTGTGGTTAAGTGTCTAGCCCAAAGACACATTGGACATGTGACTGATTAGAATTAAAACAGATGCATATACATGACATTTATTCTTATCCATAAGCTGTTGTATTTTGGGATGCCATTTTCTTCCTTTAAGATTGAGCACTGTAGCATATTTAGAACTAAAGTGAAGGTGAAGACTTGAAATTCAGGTAGAAAACATTTTTTAAGACTGACTTTATCATTATTATTAAATACAATAGCTTCCGCTTCTGGATAGGCCCCACTGAAAGCTGTAAAATGCATCTTTTGAGTAATACACTTTTAACAAAGTACCTCCTAACAAGTGTCCTCTTTCTATTTCCTGTAATGAAACAGGTTTACACCTGTTTTAAAAACAACTTGAGCCGTGTATGTGTTAATAAAGGATATCTATCTCTTTGGAGCTGGCAGCTGAAATAATAAACTCCAGCCGCCCGGCGCTGCAAGGAGTTGAAAACGAACACCAAGAATTACAACACTGTTTCATCTGTGTTAGTGTGTCTTTGTGTGTGTGTGTGTGTGTGTGTGTGTGTGTGTGTGTGTGTGTGTGTGTGTGTGTGTGTGTGTGTGTGTGTGTGTGTGTGTGTGCGTGCGTGCGTGCGTGCGTGTGTGTGTGTGTGGGGAGAGAGAGAGCAGGATCCCTAGAGGCAGTGATGTCATATAAACTAGAAGTCCACACCCTGGTGACATCACTATTGGACAGTGAGGACATTCAAAGAAATTGAGCTGAAGCTTCAATCTGATGAATGATTATTGGACAGAACCATAACACAGTTTGGATGAAGGGAGAGAAATAAAGAGAGGGATTTTTCTGAGCCGTCATAAAAACGCAGCTTTGTGAAATTAAAGAACTGGTTTATGATCTTTAAGAAGTATACAGAGGGAATTCAAAAAAAGAAACCTGCAGCACCAAACCAATGCTGGAATCAAGGGTTACAGTATGTTGTGAAGGGAAAGATTGCCACCTAGTGGCTGACTATTATACAAACAGCAACGACAGAAGTGGTGAACATTAAATTTTGTAGCAGTGTGACTCTGTGTACTCACATCTCCTCCACCATATCAGCTGGACCCTGGACTTGTCCCACCACCGTCCCACTGTAGGTGTTCTTCACCCAGCCGACCAGGCCCAGCTGCAGACCCTCCTTTTCTGTGTACTGCAGGGGGGAAGATGAAGGGGTTCACATTTAACGTACTTGTAGGTTTGTAATCTTTATATAAGAAGAAAAAATAATTTCAGAAAAAGACCCAAAAAGATGCTTTAACATGGATTCTGAATCAAAAAGCAGACACATTAGAAACAAGCGAGTTTCTGAGGAATTCAATGCCTTTCCATTGCAGGGACCAGGTCTAAATAGACTTCCTGGAATTTTTTTTAATCCACAAAATGTCACTGCCACAGATTAGTACAAACAAACATGGAGTGCGGGATGGGTCTTACAGGGCTGAACATTTTTATCTCCTATGTATATTCTTCAAAGGTATTTATTAAAGACAGATAACAAAATGTGGGAGGAACCTTTTAAGTCCCTTTTAAAGAAGCTCCTGTGAAGAAAGGAGCTTCAGACTTTGTGGAAATCAGGGTATAGGCAGATTTGTTTGGTAAGACTAACAAATGATCATGAGCAGCATTCAAAGAAATGCTGCAAGCACAGATGTTCTCAGCTTGCACAATTTCATAGAATCATGGGCCACACCCATGTAGTGATGCAGAAAAGCCCTAGAAGTTCTGTGCGTTAAGTGCAAAGATGAAAATCAGAAATTTTGAAAACATAATTAGCTAAATAACCTTTTTCTTCACTCTTAACCTCAACAAGTTTGTCCACACCATAAAGGACCACGTTTTCTGTGCAAAGGCTTAGTAAGAAATAATGTTGTGCAGCGACCTCTAGTGGCCTTAGAAATGATTCAGGAGAAAACTCAAAGTCAGGAGACGTAGTATTTTAATGGTCAAATTCATTTGGGGTGGGGATCAGGGGCAAAGAAACAGGACTTTTACTGAGGAGAGGTCAACAGAGGTCTACATTGATTCTTCTTATAAGGTTCAACAGATATGTCACTTAATGGACATTTCTGACGTCACTGAAGTAACAATACTAATATATTTAATTTAACTCAAACCATAAGCTTTGTCCTGGACCTCATTAATCACGTGTTGAGCCAAAAGTCATTGAAGAATTCCTTTACATAACAAATGAAACACTACTCACCAAATGAATCACATAATTATACTACATTTAATTAAAGGACTGTATTTGAAGCCCCAAAACCCCCCTTTTTCTAGACCTAACTAATAGTTATGTTGCTAATCCTAACTAGGCTCAACATTTCACCTGTTGCAACCATGTAGATATGATGACAAACAAACTATGAATCGGTTCCTAAGTTACATTAGTGGGAAAGGTTGTTATAAGTAGCAAAGTAAAGAAACAGAAGACAGCAGGTAGTGGAAGAAGCCAACAATTTTATAGAGACTCACCATTCTGAAACAGACTCCTGTCAACAATAAGGGTGAAGAAAGAAAGAGAGAAAGAGAGGGGGGAGAGAGAATGACTAAATAAACAGTATGTAATCAGAAATATCACCAAACAATAACCTCAATTCTTTCTATGAAACATATTAAGCAGTTTATATGTACGTTTCTTATCCGAATATGTGAGCATTTCTTCCATTCAAAGACTGAAACAAACAGCTGCCTATGATACGTTCAAGATAATTTATCAGAGCTTGCAGGAAGTGAGCCAGCAGAGAGATTCTGTCCCGCCAGCAGCAGCAGCAGCAGAACTGCACTAGTTTCTATATTAAGCTCCAGCATAGATCAGTTTACAGCCCCCGCTCACAGAGCTCGGCAGAAAACAGAAGAAGGAGAAGGAGTAGGAGGAGGGGAGTTAAACATACAGACCCTGAACATGACCGAAGATCTCAAAGTCCACAGACACCAGTTTGGTTCCAGCTGTTTCACATTCAGACATGCTGAGAGCAAAACACAGACTGTCCCTTTAACAGGAGAGGCGGCTGAAGAACGAGTGAGTAAACACCCTCTGCTTGCTCGCTCCCTCTCTCTCCTCAGCACTCTGCACCAACATGGTCATGTCTTCCTCCAGTTTTTAAAGGAAAATCTCACCATCAACACCAGAGAGGAAGTGATGTGCTGAGAGTGCTCCTCTTTACAGTGTTGTAACTTGATTTTATAAGCCTTCTGTAGAGAAACTATTTTTATCATCAGCTTTTTATTGATTTATTTTCCTTGTATCATGCATTCTATGCTTTGAGTTGTCATCTTTATTCCATCCCCAAAAATGTATCTTACATTTCTTTTAATTGTCCATCTGTTAAATATTATACTTTCATCTTTATTTTATTTCACTTCTTTTGCTTTTTTTTGTGATTTATTTTTTTCATTGTTATGGTGGTGTCACTATATCGTATACGTTCTGATATTTCAGTCTTTTTCTTGAAGCGATCGCTGCATTCCTGTTCCTCAATATAAAACTGTTTAAGCTGCAGTTTATGTATTTAAGTCCTTTACAAATACAGTTTCTGATTTTCATTCATTTTTCCCCGTCTTCCTATTTTATTATCATTATAATAATTAATATCACTCATAAAACAATGAGTCTGTTATTATAAATGACAGCTCTCATTTATGAAGTCGCTGAGAAAATCATCATGTCATAAGTTTAGTCAGCAGTACTTCAAAGATCCTCTAGATGTCAGTCACACCTCACAGAATTATCAGCAACACACACACACACACACACACACACACACACACACACACACACACACACACACACACACACACACACACACACACACACAGTGCAGTCATTCATGTTAACTTCCCTGAATATTTTACCTTTACAGTGAATCTGACATTTCTGGAAACTCTTTTCCTGTAATTTACATTTCCTGGTAACTTTTAAATTATTTAGAAAAGATGACATTTAGAAAGGATCTAAAATATTTTGACAGTTGGGGAATCTTTCTGCTCTCATGAAAGGTGAGGATGTGTATTTTGGCCTGTGTATTACTATATATATGTCCAGCACATAATTTGTGCATGTGTGTGTGTGTGTGTGTGTGTGTTGAGAGACCATCTAGGAACGACGATCAGACCATCACGTCTCTGTTTAATCCCTTTAATACCACCGGACACACTGTAATCTCTACACACACACACACACACACACACACACACACACACACACACACACACACACACACACACACACACACACACACACACACACACAAAGCACATTCAACAATTAGGGCAAACACAGTTCTAATCTGCGTGAGTGTCAAAACAAACACCAGGAGCGAAAGCAGTCGTAAATCCAACACAGCGCTCAAATTTCTGCTTGGACGCTGCATTCATAAAGACAGACAGAATCTGAATTTACAACTCAACACTGTTTAGCCCTATGTATGGTTTTAAGAAATTCTCTACAATAAATGCATTATTCATGCAAACCTCTGCAAATAACCTCAACTGTGGCCAGTTTGTCTACCATGTAGAAGTATTTCTAGATCAGGTCCAGGTACTTCTGGTTGCCTGGTAACTGTTTCCAAACAAGAAAAAGTCAAGTGCCTGCAGATGTCTAAATTGTGAGATTCACATGTAAATGATTCACTCCAAGATATTCTGATGACATTGAGACGTGCAGGCGTTAGTCAGAGTAACAGCAGCATTAATGTTGATGATACAATCAGCTAAGTCACAGTTTGTTCCCAACCGTCCTGACGCCTCTAACCTTGACCTTTAACATCATGAATACACATTTATACACACAGAGTTTACCATCACTCCTCTTTAGGGGAAATGCCAAAAAGCTCCATAGTTTAGCACAGATACCCTGTGTGCATGTGTGTGTGTGTGTGTGTGTGTGTGTGTGTGTGTGTGTGTGTGTGTGTGTGTGTGTGTGTGTTGTGTGTTGCCAGCTGACTCAGCTCCAGAAGTTAAACAGTCCGCTCTGACTGGTCGTCGCCTCGAGCATCAACACTCACACACACAAAAAGTCACACACACGCACGCACGCGCGCACGCACGCACGCACGCACGCACGCACGCACGCACGCACGCACACACGCACACACACACACACACAGCCTGACAATGTTTCATGACCTCCATTCAGTTTCACCCCTCAAACATCAAACTCTCTGTTTTTTTAGTGTCAGTATGTGCAGCCTTTTATTTTTGACCATATTTTACCAGAATAATTTCCACATTCTATTTTTCTTTATTTTTGTTTTGGGTATTTTCTAAACACAACTCAATGAGTGTAATATTGTACACATTGCTTCAGGAACCATTGTTTCTTGTTCCCAGCACAAACTCCATTATCCATATTCTCCAATTTAACACGAGGACCATCCTTATCAGCATTTCACTTTTATTCTTCAGTGAAGGAAACCTCGAAGATTTTGAGTCAAAGAAAAATATCTCCTGAGAGAAATTTCAATTAAGTTGCTGAAACCATTTGTACACTTTGAAAGTGTACAAATAAAACAACATTTGGCTCTCGTGGCACATTGTTATTTAAATTATTTTTAAATAAAATGACAGAAGTAAACTGTATCACCATTTAATACTTTTGTTGTTTTCAGGTAGTCCACTGCCAAGCTAACTGCTCTTTTATGCTAAATTTGAGCCGGATGCAATAATGTACATGATCAAATCCACGTAATCATACTTAACTGAACACCGAAAAGGTAAGGCTGATGGTAATGGCATTAGTTCTGCAGGTACGTGTTAGTATTTGGCAAGTAAAACAAATTGATGATAATAGATCAAAAGCCTGGATATCAATGTAATCACAATTAATACTTCAAATATATTTCATTCAAAAATTTTCACACTGAAAGACAAATTTCAACCAAAAAAAACATCATTGAAGTTGGTCGGATCTATTCTCTTGGGATGATGAATGCTTGCACAAAATGTAATCACAATCCCTCCAACAGTTTAGTTGATTTAAATCTTAAGTAAAGTGGTGGACTGACTGAGTGACTGCCTTAGAACGCTGAAGTGAGGTATGTTACTGACATCAATATGAAAAACAAGGTGAAAACCTAACTGAAAAGGACGCAACCTCCTCAGACCATGAATTTTCGTACCAAGTAGAATGACAATGTGTCCAATAGTTAAAGGGCACCAAAGGGAAACATTAATGTTTAATTACTGTAATAGGAAATGTACTTAGGATTAACGTTGTGTCCAAATGATCACCACATTTCATGAAGAAAAAGCCTTTTTTGTGTAATGTAAGCAGGTTAATTGAGATTGTTTGTAGTACCTGGGTGAGTCTGCCTTCTATCCAGTGTAGTGGTGCCTTAAGAAGTGGGAATAATCTTAACCCCCCCCCCCCTTCACCTCCAAATGTTTAAAGGTCCCATATTGTGCTTTTTTCTGGTTTTATATGCTCTTCAGTGTGTTTTCCAAGTGTCCTGTGCATGTTTAGGCACATCTATGTGCAAAAATTCAAAGTCCGCGGAAACGCGGCTTCTCCTACGTCCTCCTGTTAGCTGTAGCATTAGCCGCATGTAACGCTCGGTTCTAGCCCCCCTCGATAAAAATGTGTCAGTGTGACGTCATTGTCAGTGTGAGATCACTGATCTAAGTCAATTGGCTCGTTGTGGCAAGCCCTGCAGCTCATGTTGAAATTTCCGAGAAGCGTGCTGAGCAACTGACCAACAACGACAGAGCAGATCGGCAGACCAATCAGAGCAGACTTGGCCCACGTGGGGTCTAACAGTGTGGGCTCAGCAGAGCGTAGCTGACGGACTCAGAGTGTAGAGGGAGCAAGGAGGAGCAGTGCATGAAAACAGACACTTTTTTCAGACTTTAGCTATTGTGAATGTACAAAAGTAGGTACATAGATTAAATATACGAACCTCAAAAAGGGCATAATATGAGCTGTTTAAGACTAGTCTTGCATATTTAATTAGTGTATCCTATCAAATTAGAGACAGAGGGAAGGTCATCCCTTTACAATCCGAAAATTTGCAGCATACTACTGAATGTTGTCAATCAATTATTGGTGTGAATCAGAGGAGATGTAGGCATACCCTTTGGAGACTGAAAAATAAGTAGGTATACTGTGTATACCCTGCACTGCTTCTATCTAAAGGAAAATGTGTACTGTATGTTTAGCAAATACAGTTAGAAACTCAAGAATTCATTGAAACTAACATACTGACATCAGTAAACAGCTCGTCAGTCTGAATCCTGAAGGACGTCGATCCCCAACAGGAGCCAGGAGGTCAGAATGTACCGGAACATCTAGTACATACAGCATGCTTCGGCAAACACACACACACAGCACACACACACACGACAACCTGCATCCCAGCAAACAACCTCCTGAACATCATCGGCGCTGATGAAATCAAAAGAACAGTAGAAACATGATGAAACAGAAACAGAAGTCAAAGATGTATGTACAGTCAGTGTAAGTAAACTACTGTTAGTACTCTCTGTTTCATGTTAAGTGGGCATAGCATCATGCAAAGCTCCAAGACTGCTGCAGTATTAACAATAATCAGACTAATATCAAAAGCCCGTCCTTTTTCCTTTTTCACAGATGCACATTGAAATTCCAGATTTCTTTGTGTTACGTTCATGAGGGGGTGTGGCCTGAGTTGTGGAGGGAGGGAGGGAGGGACTGGAGCGAAATGGACAAAAGAAACCTTACACCATATTTGATTCATTGCTGTCACGTGATGTGATACACTCATGGAACCGCCAAGCTGCTAATTATGATTTGATGAATTTCTTGCCCTTCACTTCCAAAACAGCATTGTTATTGAAACAGTGACTAAATATATGTAAAAAGAAATATCGGCAAATAATTATCTTGAGTCTTTTTAACATTGCAGAATTTAATTTCTCTTTGTGGTTCTTTCTCAAACAGGAAGCGTTGGAATGTTAAAAATGTTTCAGATTCCCGAAGTCTATGACTTACGTCCTTAAAACCCGGAACACAGTACGAGACGACAACAACATTTGAGCTTCCCAACCTGAGAGTGATGTTACAGGGAAATGGCTGACATGTTAACATGCCCTGCA